GCCACCCGGTCCATGACCACGTCATGTAGATGATTGGGTATATTAACGAATTGGAGGTTCTTGGATCCCAACTCGGTGATGGCACCAAGACTAATGCCATCCTGAACTCTTTGCCTTCCTCTTTCAATCAGTTTGTCATGAATTACAACATGGAGAAGTTAAGTTAGCCTTCAGGAACTCAACAATATGTTGTAGAGGGTTGAAGAACTAATTAAGAAGGACAAGCCAATAGCCATGCTTGTTGAAGGTTGCAAATCGAGGAAAAGAATGAGGAAGGGCAATAAGAGGCCTCAAAAGAAAGTAGGCAAGTCAAAAAGGAAAAAGAAAGATAAATCATCTGATGAGTGTCACTTTTTCAAACAGACCGAACATTGGAAGAAGTGTCCTTAATATCTAGAATCCATGAACAAAGAAGGAAATTTCAAATCTCTTGTCATAGAGACCAATATGTTGGTCAGTGAGAAATCCACGATCAGTGAGGAAGATATGCCCGAGTATCTAGGACAACTTAGAAGATAATACCCAATTTAGAAGATATGCCCGAGTATCTAGGCCTCTAGTTCTTTACGGCTATGATCAAGAAAGTTAATTGATGGAAGCCACGATTAGTGAGGAAGATCCCATGACTTATGCAGAAGCTATGTTGGACATAGATTCCTTAAAGTGGGTAGATGCCATGAAAGTCAAGATGAACTCAATGAAAACCAACAAAGTCTGGACTCTCGTAGACCCACTCCCTGGGGTGAAAGAAATTGGTTGCAAATGGATCTATAAGAGGAAGAAGGGCCCTGATGGAAAGGTAGAGACCTATAAAGCTTGTCTTATAGCAAATTGGTACACTTAGAAAGAGGGAGTCGACTATGAAGAAACCTTTTCGCCTGTGGCCATGCTTAAATCCTTACGAATCTTGCCATCTGTAGCATCATACTATGATTATGAGATTTGCCATATGAATGTCAAAGTTACGTTCCTGAATGGAGATCTTACTAAAAATATCTATATGCAGTAGCCGTAAGGTTTTATTGCTGCTGATCAGGAACATATGATGCGTAAACTGAATAGATCCATTTATGGATTAAAGCAAGGTTCAAGAAGTTGGAACATCCAATTTCACTCTACGGTCAAACAATTTGACTTTGAGCAGAATTCGGATGAACCCTGTGTTTATAGGAAATTAGTGGGAGATAAGGTTACGTTACTTGTTATATATGTAGACAACACTCTACTCACTGGAAATGATGTACGAATGTTGACTATGGTGAAGGTATGGCTTTCGCAACAATTCCCCATGAAAGATCTCAGAGAAGCCTCCTACATCTTGGGACTTTGACTTTATAGAGATAGATCAAAGAGGATAATAGGATTATCCGAATCTACTTACATTGACAAGATTGTCAACATATATAACATGGAGAAATCCAAGAAGAGATTTGTCACTTTTAGAACGAATCCACTCTCTCCAAGGGTATGTCTCCCAAGACTCTTGAGGAGATTAAGGGCATGAGAGAGGTTGCCTATGCCTCTAACTTAGGGAGCATCATGTATGCCATGTTATGCACTCGGGTAAACATTGCTTAGGTTATGAGTGTAGTAAGTAGATATCAGTCAAACCCAAGACAAGAGCATTGGACTGCCGTGAAAAACATAATCAAATGCCTTTAGAGGACAAAAGAATTTTGTCTTGTCTTCAATGGTAGTTCACTACAAATCGTTGGGTATACTGATGTCAATTTCCAGTTATACCTAGATGATAAAAAGTCTACATTTGGTTACATCTTTACAATGGGGTCCTGTACATTTAGCTAGAAAAGCAACAAACAAGGGTCCATAGAAAATTCCACGACTGAGGCCCAGTACATTGCCACAAGTGAAGCTACCAAGAAAGTAGTGTGGATGAAGAAGTTCATTCATGAATTAGAAATTGTTCCATCTAGCACATCACCCATTCCATTATTGTATGACAACACTGGAGCCATTGCTTAGGCTAAGGAGCCAAGAGCCCACTCGAAGTCAAAGCACATCGAAAAGAAGTATCATGTACTTTGGGAGATTGTTATTAGAGGGGGTGTCCAGATTCAAAAGATAGCATTAGCAACGAATGTGGCAGACTCATTTGTTAAGCCACTTACACAGAAAGTGTTTGAGAAACATGTTGATAGTATGAGACTCAGGCCTGTACCAAATTGGACCTAAGTGCAAGTGGGAGCTACTACATAGTGTATGCCCTTAGCTCCAATTAGATTGATGTACATATCCATTTATTGTAAATGAATAAAAGTACATATTTGTTTCATATTATAATTGGTGTGTTTCTGTATAGTTACCTTTAAACTAGACACTTATGAGACTCGTGTTAGTTTAGAATGTTCTCAGTCATTGGATAGACTTGGGAAAGTTTTTCCTACTAAAGCTAACACTGATGTGCTGCCAAGAAGGTTGGGGCAACTTGTCTCAGCTGCTAGGGTTGGACCTGAAGCACATGCAATGTGTGATTGTTTGAAAGATTGAACCTAGACCATTTTCTAGTTGTTCCTTGGGCCTTGAAGACTCGTAGGCAAAACTGGAAGGTTACACATAATTCCTAGACTCAATTATGGTATTGCACTAGGTTAGGCTATCTTTGATATGCCAATCAATGAGATCCTTTGGGGGTCAAAACTTGAGTATGTTGGGGCTGTCTGAGAATTCACTCGAGTGGGTGATCATAGTGATAGGATCAGCCACTTTGTTGGAAAAAATAAAAGATCGAGACTACACTCTCTTTGGTGGAAACCAAAATTGTCGGTAGTCAATTTCAAACTTGTTTGAGATTTGTTTTGTAAAATTTATTTATATGATATAAAGTTTTAAGAAAAAGGTTTACAAAAAGTTTTAATTCCCGGGACCCATCCGGCTAGAGAGTGCAACACTACACCTTGTAGCTAGGGGAGAGGTCCTTCCCTATCGGGCAATGTTTGATCATTATGGGCTAAGAGGTTAAGTGTAAGACACTATTTAGGGCTATTTACCTGATGGGTTATATCTTACTTAAGTCCATTATCCTTGGTCCTTCATAGGATGACTGGACTCAATGATCATTTAATATAAATGTTGGGCCCATTAAGAGCCCATACTGATGGAGTCAGGGGTTCACTGTGCTTGACAGTGAATTCGGCCAACCCTTTCAATAAAGTATGGACCGAACCCATATGGGCTTATGTAGGGTCATTGTTGCGGTCTCATGCCATACAAAGTGAACCAAATGGGCCAACAACTACTTAAGGATGTGAGCCATTTGCTTAATGAGCCTTAAGCTGTCATGTGACTTAGGCAAATACGGGTTTGGATAAGGGTCTGGGTCAGACATTAGGATAAGAGGATAAGTTTTATCCACTTTAAGAGTCCAAATCCAAATAAAGATTTGGATTATGAACCTCCTAATTCGATTTGGAGTGGTGATCCTTACGGCAAAGAAAAGAGGAGATCAAAATCTGTTCCAGATAACTGTACTCTCAGATCTCTCTCAGCTCTTGCCGCTCTAGAAACCCTAGTTCATTCTCCACCTCGTGGCTGATCTTGATCAGTCTTGATTTCTGATCTTTTGCAAGAAAACATCAGAATCAATTCATGCTCACTTTCCTTGTTTGATCCAAAGTGTTGGATCACAGTTTGGTGAAAACTGTGTTCTTGAACCGGCTTCAATTCAAGTTGTGTCATTTTCAGTGGAAGCTGGTTTTGGTTCTCTCTTTGGGTGTGAACTACCACTTTGGGAGCTACAATTGTGGAATCCGTATTAGGTATACTTCTCCCTTTTCTGTTGGTTTCAAATGTGGTCCGATTTCGATGCAAGAATGATCATAGAAAAAGTAATTTTTCTAAAATTGGGAATATGATTCCTGGAAGGGTAAAGGAAACTTTTGAAATTTAGCCCAACCATCTTGCATGGTTCGGCCATCCATATGATGTATTTCCCTTTCCTTCACAGATACCTTGTCTCCCAGTATTGGCACTTTTAGAGGTTTAATGTACTCATCTTCCTTGGTGTTCTCAGATGCCTATACTAGAAAATTTCAAGGTTGTTCCTCTTCGAATAGGGTTAAGCTTTTGGCAATTTACCAAGGTCGTCTTCTTGTGGTTCAAAATGGATGATGTGCATGGGATAATTTCTTGTGTTGACTGTTAGACGGTGTTCAGAGTTTTTACAAATCAAGCTCCTATAGCTTGGTGTTCTTTAGACCTTTTTTTTTCCGAAGCCAAGAACTTGGTTACTAGAGCAACTCTGTTGATTTATTTATGGCGATGTTTGGGATCAATGCCATTTTCTGATAGAGGTGTTTTTTTAGAAAACAGTGCTACATAAACATGTTGTTTTCTTAAAGCATCTTCTTAGGTTTTCTATTTGCTACCATTGATGTTGTTGCCACATAGGCATTTTTCAATGCCACTTCAGCACACTATTGCTAACAACAATAGAAAGAAAAGGGAAAACACCAAAAAGGGTGTTTTGTAAGTGATGGGATCTTTTCTCACACAGGGGCATCTCACAGGCATATCCACCATGTATTGGGAACATCTCCCATGAAATAACTTATAAGTATGGGATATATATATTCCCAAATGCATGGTAGGATTTACGTGTGAAGTTGGTGTGAGGCGCCCTATGTGAGGAGCAGATCCGGTCTCTTTTTGTAAGACCACACCTTTCCCATTTCTAAAACATGATCTAAGAAAATGTTGTTCGAAAAAACAATTAACCATATAGCAAGCATTTTCTCAAAAAATGAATTTCTGATGTAACACTAATATTGCACCGTTTCTTGAGAAAAGGGCATCGACCCCAAACACCTACTATATCCTAGAATTTCTAGTTTAGCCCATCAGTTGGTCAAGTGGACCAAAAGTTCATCTCAAGACTCCTCTTATTTTGAGCACTCACCTCTGGATGCTCTTGTACAAAATTTTATCTGGTTTAAGTTCATCTAATTTAAAACCTTTATCTATCAATAGAAAGAAAAACTACATTAACAGCAGTAGCAAAGACAATAATACTAATTTGATTAACTATGACAGCACCACCAAAAACAAGAACTAAAAAGAAAAGGTATAAGTGCATTAACTGTTATAACAACAACAAAAATAAAAGCAACCAAAAAGGAACAGCAGGAACGACAACAAACAACTTCACAAATAACAATGCTAGAATAATGCTAGAATAAGTAGTGTCTCCTCCTTTTGAGATACGATTGACTCAAAGCCTGACTGAGAACTAATAGAAAAGATGTGGGTTAAAAAGTGCTGGATCAGACAGGATATTACTGGGTCCTGCTCCATTTTGATTTCTCTGTCTCTTATTCTTAGCCCTCGAATTACCTAACATTGACCGTTCATCTTCAACAATGACGACATTCGAACGCTTCTCATCATCAGGCTTGTATACCAAATGCACCCCACACATCTTCACCTTGTGCGCTTCTGTAGCATGCACCATAACCCTTACTTGATCCCCACCTTCCAACCATTTCCCCATGTCAGGATGTGCTCTATGCCTCACCCACATGTTGTTTTTACAACTGTTTTTACCGTGAATTTGACTGCCCATTAGTAGCCAATGAACACCTTTCGTTATATTAATGATATAAGCATAATGAGCAATGCTGAATATGCAGGTTTCGTCGTATCCGGCATAAACAGCACACAAAGTGAGCCCTCGGACCTTACAACCCAATACTAGAGGCACCTCAAATGACACTTCAGAACCTAGGGTTCGACATGTAAACCAATCAGGAACCTCACTCCCAGCAAGTATGGCGTTAAATCCACTACATTCATCTTTTGCCCCCTGTACCATGTACCATATATAATTTGAGATGAATAGATAGATAGATAGATAGAAAGATAAATACAGAGAGAGAGAGAGAGAGAGACCTGGAGAAGATTTAGGAAACTCTTCATAAAGGTATACGAATTTTTGCACCTATCCATGTGAATTTCTTGAATGGGTTCCTTCCTTTGTGGGTCCTCAATCTCAGCTAACTTGTGGCAATCCGTAAGTATCAGGAGTGATAGTTTCTGTAAGTTTGAGAGATTTGGTAATCTTTCCATTTCTGTGCAACCACTAGCATATATTCTTTCCAGACTTGATGGGAGTTCTGGGATTGATTTAAGTCTTTTGCAGTCTTCTAGCATAAGTTCCTTAAGTTGAGAAAGGCCACGGATGCTGCTTGGCAAATTACAAACACTGGTTTGGCTTATATCTAATCCTTCCAAAGAAGATAAGCTCCAAAGATTAGAAAATTCTTTCAATGATGTGCAGCCACCAGTGTGCAAGTAGTCTAAATTTGATGGAAGTTCTGGAAGTGCTTCAAGCCTCGTGCAGTCACCCAACCAGAGATTCTTGAGCTTAGAAAGTTGACTGATGGTGTTTGGTAGACTGCAAAAATGGCTGCCGCAGAGATCCAAATATTCTAATGACGCTAAGCTCCCAATCTCACTAGGGGGACCTTCTAATAGATTACAATTTCTAATTTTGAGAGATTTTAATGACCGTAGACCGGATAATGAAGCCGGTAGTAGGCCAATTGAGTCGGGAGTTTTTCTCAGAGATTCTGGTGGTTCCTTGATTCCCTTGATAGATAAAGTTTTTAGGTTCTCCAACTGTACAATAGAATTGGGTAGCTGTTCTATAGAAGTTTCTTCCAAAGAAAGGTTCATTAGTGATTCCATACTCCCCAATTTGTCTGGCAACATCTTGAGACTAGAGCATCCAGAGAGAATAAGATTTTTCAGAGATTTCACGTTACAAATGCTTTCTGGAAGAATCTGAAGACTTTTGCAATCTTTCAGATTCAAGACAATAAGTCCATGAAGATGTCCAATTGAATGGTGAACCTCAACTAAACTTGTACAACATTCAAGAATTAACCTCTCAAGGTTTGGGAGACTTAAGAAATCCGGGGTTTTAACTAGGTCAGCAGAATGACTGAGATCAAGTATTTTCAAATTCTTGAGCAACTGTAGAAAGAAGCATTTGGAGTAAAAGAAAATCAGTTTCATTTTTATTAATTAACATTGATAAACACAGAAATTATGTTCCTGGGCATACCTTTTCTTCCTTCCAGACTTGTTTGATTTTACTGTATTGCATTTCCAGAGCAACAAGGTTATCCAGATGAAAATTAGTTGGTATAAATTCCAAAGAGAATCGGTTCCATCGAAGCCATCTTAACTTTCTGGAAATAAGTCCATAGTCCCCATTGATGTCCACATTATTGAGTTGAAGCAGTCTTAGCCTTTTCATATTTGCAAAGGCTTCTGTAACAAATTTCATTTCCATTGTTTCAGGGTTTTCTAGGATGAGGCCTTCAACATTTTCTGTTCCCTGAAAATAAACAAACAACATTGGAGATGTGAGAGATTCATAATAAGAAGAGATTCATATGTATATGTAATTTAACTCTTACCATCTTATTTTCCAAAATGTCACAGACATCTTTATGAGACCACAATCTACTGCGCTTCCCACAATCTTTTGGAGCTTCTTGAAGGACAATTTCCCTTCCCATGTCTCGAAGTAGAAAAGACATTCTTATCTCATCATTTTCATCGATTGTGATCAGAGATCTGTAAACAAGATCACTTATACTAGCTTCTGAGGAGAAACCACAACCATCTAATATTTCAATTGCATAGTTCTTGTTCATCCCAATGAAGAAGAATGCAATGTCAAGGAATATTTCCTTATTTTCACGATCTAATGCGTCAAAGCTTATTCTAAGCTTTTGTTCAATTTCATCAGGCCGGATATTTCTCAACTTCTCCAATGCACTTATCCATTCAGATGTTCTTCTTTTGTCAATTAGAAAAGAACCGAAAACCTTTAGAGCTAATGGAAGTCCTCTTACATAACTTACTACATCTCTTGAGAGTTCCAAGTAACCTTCTTCAGGACAGTTTTTTCTGAAGGCATGCCAACTAAAGAGTTGCAGAGATTCATGAGGATCCAATTCTTTCACTGAATATGTTTCATCTACTGGAACCAAATTTAGCAAATGCTTGTATCGAGTTGTTATGATGATTTTGCTTCCTTCTCCAAACCACTCATGCTTTCTGGCTAATGCCTCTAATTGGCTACTTTGATCCACCTCATCAAGAACAATAAGAACCTTTTTATTACAGAGTTTTTTCTGTATCACATCGATTCCTTCACGAGTGTCTCTTATACTTAGGTTCTCTTTTATTAGGATATCAGAAAGAAGATTTTCTTGTAAGCGAGCTAGACCATTGATTTGTTCAGATTTTTTTCCAACATTACTAAGAAAGCTGCTGCCTTCGAATTCTTGACAGAGGCGATTATAGACAGCCTTAGCGATGGTTGTCTTCCCTATTCCGGCCATACCACATATCCCTACAAAGCGGACATCATTTGAGCAGGTACCTAACATTGAGAAAATTTCTTTTACTCTGGAATCCATTCCAACTGGATAAACAGCAACATTCAAAGGCTTTTTGCTCATCCTTGTCAGAACATTTTCAACAATCCTCTGGATAAACTTTTCTTGATCCCTGCCATTTATGTTAATTTCCAATGTAACAAAAATAGAAGAATAAACACAAATGGGTTATAATAGGCCTTAAAGAAAAAACACAAATTTATGCATATATAACATTCTTACCAAGGAAATTAATTTAACATCTTTTTTAGATAATTTTCCAAAACTATTGGGGAATGGTTGGGGAAGATCTCTGTGGATTGATTAAAGATTTTTCAAGAGTGGAAGTTTTGTGAAGGAGATAAATTGCACATATTTACCACGCATGCCGTATATAGTGAGGTTGAAAAGCCAACACAAATCTGGCCAATAACCTTGTGCCATGCTATATATAAATTTATAGCAAAATGCTTAATTAAATATATATTCATAAAGACAGATTTCTAGAAGATATAAATTAAATATCATTTTAGAAATGAACCAAGCTATTTTCTGTAAATGGTTATATATGGAGACTGATTGCTAAACCACAAACTTACTAGGAAAGAATAACAAAAAAAACAAACCAAACAGTTTAAAATATTAATTAGGGTAGCCAAACTACACAATGGTCGAGTTGGTGGATTCGGGTGCAAAGGGTAGTCAAAAACAGTTTCTCAAAAATATGGGCTTTCTTGCCGAATTGTATGTGTGCAGCTGGTCCATTGAAGTTGCTGATCCCAGTGCTATCAAACGATTTGCTAGTACTCAGGCTTTGAGCAGGGGGTTGATGATATTGACATCCTGATATACTTTGATGTTGCTTGCAAGAATGGACATGGGGCGGCTGTAGAAAAGCAATGTGTGGAGGCTTTCTGTTCATGAGAGTGGTGTCATCTCTCCCAGCGATTGATACAGAACCAGTGGAAGCATTGTCCCTTCTTTTGGCTCTCAAACATTAGGTTAATTGTATTTGGAGACCTAGGCCAGCCGTTTATGATTGCCAACATATACAGTTTTTTTTTTTTCTTTTTTTTTTTTTAAGAATGGAAATGAGCAATATTGGGCACTTGTTAGTTTGAAATGAATTTATTTTTCAGAAAAAAATGTATTTGATTCATAGTTTTTAACTATTACTCTTTTGGAAAGTCTACTACTACTTTTGGAAGGCCTACTATGGAGGGATTTAAACAATGTTTAGATACCAATTTAACGATGGAATAGCCTGTGCATTTTATATAATGAAAAGGAGACTCTCAACCATCTCATGCTCTCTTGTCATTTTGCACAAGGGATATGGTTGTTCTTACATTTGGGGATAAATCCCCATAACTGCAAGGAATGAAATCATGCATGAAATAGTAAAAGAATGGCAGAAAACTAAATTATAGTTTCTATAAAAAATGCCACAAATATTTGTTTATTGTTTTGAGATTAATTTGTGATGCTCAAAACAAGAGATTTTTTTTTTTTTTTAAATAAAAAACAAGCCCGAAAGAGATTTTACAGGAATGGAGTAAATACACCAAGTGGTGCATGACTCAGTAGGTACATTAACCCAGCAGAGATGTGGATTTGAGTCCCGCCACCCGTTAGCACCAAAGTTGAATTATTACTGTGATGCATTAAAAAATGGGAGTAAGGTGTTGCGGATGGCTAGATTTGGACAAATGGTGGGTTAGAATTTTTGGTTCGCTGCCGAATGTGTAATGTTCCACAGTCTTCAAAGACATCATATACGTTTTAAGGGGATTGATAAGGGTGGATAAGAAGAACGCTAATTGGGAAAGTTTGGACTTGCAACTAGGGGAGTTTGTTGTTTGAAATTTCTAATTAAACTAGTAGATGTGGTTGTGAAGGGTGCTTGCATTTGCTAAGGGTGAAGGTAGAAAGTAGTGAAACCTGGTGTAAGGTGTCGGTGGAAAAAGTAGATTGTGATCCCTGTTTTGATCCTCAACAGAGTGCTAAGACAAATACTCAGAATGGTAAACTCTGCAGGCTGAGGATTTTTGAGAGGGCGAGAAGTTGTGCTCTTCGATCATGCCCAAAGGAGACGTAGGAAGAGGGTAAACAAAAGTTGAGGCGTTTGATAGGTTTTGTCTTCTATTTTAGTAGACAAAAGGGAGATTAAGGGGGAGAGACGGTGATTTTGGCTGGGCTCAGATTTTCTACCCATGAATTGTTCTTACATCCCAACCCACTGGTAATTATAGCAGCACATTGGGAACAATTTGTGGGTAGTAGATCTAGAGTGGTTTTGGCTAGGGGTTGCTTCAGTGGTGAGGGAGGAGGAGGGGTGCCTTGGTACTTGTAACTAATGACGGGTGGTCCTAGTTTAGGTGAAGAAGGCAATGTCATGTTTCAATTTTCAATTTCAAACTTGTATTAGTCATTGATGGGGTCTGCATTTAGGGGTGTTCACTGGTCAGTTTGGTTTGGTTGAAAGGCTAGTCGAACCTATCTGGTAGCGATGGTTGAAAGATCAGTTTAGTTTGTTTTGGTGGGGCAGGGATAGGGGTGGGGATTAATAGGTATCCCCAACTGGGGTCGGGGAACCTATATTAATTTATTTTTAAAATTTTAAAATATTATTTATATTTTAAAATTTTTATTTATTTTTCAAGTCCCCATGAGGATCCTATTTCCATTGACGATCTGGGATGGAGGACAACCTTTATCGTCGATGAGAATCAAGGTCGGGGATGGGGAATATATGATCCCCGTCCTAAACCCACCTTATTGTCATTCCGATTATCTGATCGGTTTGGGGAATTAGTCACTTGAAACAGATTAACCAATCAAATCAATTGGTTCAAAAGATTTAAACTTAAAAAATTAAATTTAAATTAAAAAATAGCAATGGTATTATTAAAAAAAAATATGTTTAAAATTTAAATATATATGTCAAGTTGAGTAAGTTTTGATTGATTTGCACAAGGCCAAACCAAAATGATCCGACCTCTTGGGTCATTATAAATGGTTGAACCGAACTTAACCAAAATTTCTAAAAAACCAATCAACTTGGGTTGAGTTGGGTCAGATTGGTCAGTTTTATTGGTTTAATGAACAACCCTATGTCTGATAAATTTTCAAGTAAACATGAAGGGTTCAAGGTGGGTTTATTAAATAATCCAACAGGTAACCCATTGAGCTTCAAAGTATTTGCTAGGACTGAGCACATGGATTGGTTCTACCTAGAACCGATTGAAATTGACCTCGAACCAATTCTTCGGTAGGATATAGTTCCAAAATCTTGGAACTAACTCTCATCATGTTGATTCCAGGGTCTAGGGCTTTAACCTATCGAAACCAGTCTTCATTGGCCTTGGTGGAACCAGCTTGGGTGTAATCTAAAGTTAGAATGTGGGTTTTAACAATCAATTATGTTTTCATTATGATGTATTATTTGGATTGATTGTAGATTATATTCTATTTGCCTTGGAACTGAAACAAATTGACCCATCTTCACCCCTAATGTTAGGTTAATTGCAGTTGTTAGTGGGATTTGACATTTAAAAACCCAAGCTTTGGTGCCCCTCTCAAACATTTGGGACTTTGGTTGGGAGGCTTTAAAGAGGGGCCCTGATGTGGCAATTCCAAAAACAAATGAAAACAAAAACATTCACTTTCTAGAACGCATCTTAGTTCTTTATTTTATATATTTATTTTTTTTTGTGAATAAGGTACAGCTATATAACAAAATTTTTGAGGAATAAGAACTAACCAAACATGCATCTATACTAATAATATATATATATATATATATGTATGTATAGCAAGACGGTCCACGTCACCATGCCTCTCCTTTCTCCAAATTCCCTTCCTAATTTTCTGTTTTTTTGAATTTTAAATTTTTTTAATTCCACATAATTACCCATTAAACCAATAAGTTAATAGCATACACTAAACTATTTCTAACAACCATAATGAAAGGGGGATTTGCTTTTCTAATGTTTAGCCAAGTGGCACCACTTTCTCCCATTTTCTCATAAATTGTCTCTCACTCATATTTATCTCTTAAATTATCTCTAATTTAGTAGAGAGGTTCACTCCTAAGCTATTTCTAATTCCTATTTATCATCTTCCCCACTTTTTACCTACATCTATCTAAAGACAGTTTCAATTAAAATACTTTAGAATTATTTACATATTATAACGAAATTATATACTAACTTTAAAATATTTATTCAAAACACAAAAATTAATTATAATAGATTTTAGAATATTCATATTATCAATAATTCTATATTTTTACAAAATTCATAATAAAATTATGTAGTAATAATATAAATTAAAATTCTATGAATTATTCAAACTAAATGTTATACAAACAATAAAAATTAATATTAAAACATAAAAAATATTTAAATATGTCAGAAACTAAATATATTAAATAACAAAACATTAAAAATAGCTAAATAATTATATGACAAAATATTTAATATTATGTAATAACTTTTAAAATAAATAAAATTCAAATTTTAACATGACTAAATTTTAAATAGTTAAAATAACGAAATTATGTAATAAAATTCATTTTAATAATAATTTAACATTTTACAAAATTAATAACAAATTATGTAATAATAGTACTAATTATAATTTTATGGATTATTAAATTCAATGAATAATTAATATCTTAAAAATTTAAATAACAATATTATTTAAATAATTAAATAATAATGTAAGTAACAAATTTCACTTATAACAATCAATAATTATAGAAAATAAATTTCAAAGTATTTATATTTCTTAGTAATAATTTTTCAATAAGAGTGTACATATTATTTATTTATATATACTAAATTTAATATTTATTGTAATTTTAGTAATTATTTATTGTAATTTTTGATAAATGTGTTTTCAATAATTATTTATAAATCTATTTATGTTTTCTTATTTAACAGAAAATTGTCAATAATTATTGGAGATTAAACAACTATTATTTAACTTTTGAAATTTAATTTATTGTATTTTTATTATAAATTTATTTTTTGTAATTATATATTTTTTATAATTCACTGATTAATATTTATTAGAGATTAAACTATTATTTGATACTACACTATTTATTACCTAATTTATTATATTTTC